GTGATTCATGCTTGTGATATATAAATTTGTTACTTAGCATACAGTATTGTGTAACCTTAGTGAGTTGTGGTTAAATTAATGAACTGCAGTTAAACTTTGGCTTAGTTTAAGTAATAAAAAGAAAATACTGAGATATCTTGGACTTGGGGTCAAAATGTTAAAAATATTTGATACACCCAGGATTTTACAATTGGATTATAATGGAAAAAGCTGGAAAGACCTCGGAAGACTGTTGTGACAATTTTCCAAAATACTTTAAGGGTGAAATCACTCCTATTCTGCAATCTCTGTGAAGATGCACACAGCATTATCTAGTCCAGTTTCAGTTGTTCTGGTGTAAAGCATTGATATCTTGTTCACAGGAGCTCAGACATTCACCAGTATACATTACTCTTTATACTTTATGCTTTACTCTTATCTGCCTTGCTTTTTAACAGCAAGCTAAGGGGTCTAATAGGTGGCTTGTATTTTGGTATCTCAGTGACTTTTGATCCCACCAGCAGTGGCATTTTGGTGAAGTGGCTGTACGGGATAGACTATATATTGTATTTATATTGTTGGACATGGCAAGGCTCACATTATGGTAGAAACTTTATTTTTATCCTACCTTTCTTTTATGAACATGCATGGGGGGGGGAGTTCCCCACCTCATTTTACCCACATAACAACCCAAGAAAAAAGATTGGTCAGAGAGATTGGACTGTCTCAAACTCATCCTGTGAACTTCTGGTTGAATAGGAGACTTGAACTTGGGTCCTCCTGGTCCAGTCTAGTAATAGCCACTGAATCACTTTATCATCTCCCTGTTTGTTTCCTGGCCCAATACAAGGTGATAATACTTATCTTCAAAATGGCTTGGGTCCCATATACTTAAAGTAGATACATCTGTCTAAGCAAATATTCTTTCAACAATGTGTCCATATTGTAAGACTTTCAGAATGAACATTCTGTGGTTCATCATTACAAACAAGGTAGACATTTTTGTATAGGCTTGATAAAGGTAAAATGGTGTCCTGCGGTTTCTGGCCCCACCTGACTTTATTATTTTTTAAAAAAAATATTTAACAATTGTAATACATTGGAAGCTTGACTATTACATAATATGAGCTTCTACCTTAATCTTTATTTCAAAATATTATGCCTCTTAAAATATAAAAATGATGGGAAACCCAATGATTCATTTGAAAGTGCCCAGGAAAAAGATATAGGCCATAGTGTCCATGCTCAGACTGTCATATTTTGGACACATTATGCAAAAGCCCAGCTCAAGATTTCCCTTGAGAAGTCCATAATGCTGGGAAAGATAACCAATAGCAAGGTGGATGGACTAGATTATGGCAGAGGTGGGCCAGGTTGGGAATAGGTCATTTTGAAGGTCTATCTATGTGGTTGTTAACAGTCAACACTGACTTGATGGCACATAATCAATCAAACCAGAGGGGACTAAGCACCTGCAGAGGGGATGTGATAGGAAGCAATCACAACCGTTTGCTGGCCATGCCCACTGTTGCAGCTATTTCATGAACAAACAAGCTCTTTCCACAGTAGGCATTTTGTTCAAACATCCATGACAACCTCTTAACATTCCCAAAGTTCCCACCAGTCTCCAAAAGCAGCCTGGCTTGTGGTAAAGGACAAAATGATTTCTCTAGGATGACTCATTGCTAGAACATTTTTACCAATAAAGTTTGAATGGCAGAAATACTATTGCTCTGGTGTCTTTCTCCAGGGTCAATTCGAGTCAGTGCGGGGGCGGGGGAGGGAGAGATCCTGCCCTCGGCCCCTACTGGGTGGGGTGCCACAAGGTTCGCTGCTGTCTCTGCTCCTATTCAACATCTACATGAGGCCACTGGGTGAGCTCATCTGTTGCCATGGGGTGAGGTATCATCAGTATGCTTACATTACTCAATTATACATCTCTGCCCCTGGCAAATTAAGCAATACCATGGACATTTTATCTCAGTGTCTGGAGGCTGTGAGCATCTGGATGGAGAACAACAGGCTTCAGCTGAATCCTGGCAAGACTGAGTGGCTTTGGGTTTTGGGGCCTGCCACTTCTAGGACTATGCCATTGTGGTGCTGGATGGGGTTGCCCTGCCCCAAACAGACCCAGTGCACAACCTGGGGGTCCTCCTGGGCTTGTGAGTCCTGCTCAAAGAGCAGGTGGCAGTCATGACTAGGAGGGCCTTTGCACAGCTTTGGGTTGTGTGCCAGTTGTGCCTGTTCCTAGATCGGGAGGCTCTGCTCATGGTCACTCATGCCCTAGTCATCTCCTGATTGGACTACTGTAATGTGCTCTACATGGGGCTGCCCTTGAAGAGTATCTGGAAGCTTCAGCTGG